AATGTGCGGACTCTTCTAGTCGTTGCTGCTTTTAAGAATTGAGAACTTCATCAAATGGATGTGGACAATGCATTTTTACATGGTCAATTGGATGAGGAAGTTTACATGTATCCGCCACCTGGATTCTCCTCCTCTAGACAGCGACAAGTCTGTCGCTTGCATCAGTCGCTTTAAGCCGTTAATCACAATGACCAATTGAAATAATAATAATAATCACATAAAAAATAATCTATATTTCTGATGAGATAAATGTTGGCCGTAATTACATATGAGTATTTGATTACTGAAAATGATAATCACAAATATGTACTTAATTACCAAAGCCATATAAAATACCGACAAAAATCACTAAAAGTTTGAAAGCAAATCAACGTGGAAAAACATTCACTAATTAGTAAGTGATCTGTCAGTTATATACCACTCATTACTTTTCATACCAAAGTAATTAATTAAGGTCATTCTCACAATAGAAGGTAAAAATGATAACTTAATCACCTTCCAAAATAATATTTGACTATAAATAAAAATTCGAACTTGATAGTTCACAATTACTAGTATATTGTAATACGGCAATGATTAATCACAATTATAAAAGGAATCTTTAATTCCCAAGGCACCAAATTGCCCATACTCCATATATAATACTCCATATAAACAATACTAGTATAAAATAGCCAAAATTTGGAAAATGAATAAAAAAAAACAAATGGGATAACTAATAAACGTATGCACTAATATGCTCCGTAAGTGATTTAACGATCACAATATTAATATTCGAATCACCTTTTCCAAACAAAAAACATCAATCATAAGATTGACATAAAAATTGAAAATTCTACAATAATTTTCTACTGAGCGCCGAATAAATCTCAAAAGAAAAAATAAATCAAGAATATTCAAATAATTCCATCACATATTGCAGATCATGGCCGATACGATTATCAAAAAATACAGATTCATATGAATTCTGATTTCATTGTAAATTTGTAATCGGCTAATCGTATATGGGATTGAATTGAAGTGCCCAAACAAACAATAAATAAAATCCAATCTGCCACATTCAAAAACGAAACTGATATGGCAGATTAAAATTATTCAGATGTTCCAATCGTAGATGATCAATACGATTGAGAAAACAAAACGAAACAGCCGATTAAGACTAAGAGCCCGTTTGGTAGCACCAAAATCGGCTGTTTTGGCTGATTCTGCTGAAATTTATGATATTCTGGCTGGAGTGGCTGTTTTGGCTGATTCTGCTGATTTAAGAAAAAAATATTTTAAAAATATATTTTATTAATAAATTAAAGAAAAAATTATATGTAAAAATAGCTAAAATGGTCCTCTACAGTAACTTCAGCCAATACAGCCAGAAAAGTAACTCCAACCTTACTTTTTCGGCTTATTACAAAATTCAGCGCGCGAAAGTAAAAGTTACGTGTTTGATGAAAAAGCTGGCTGATAAGCCTGATAAGCCGAAAACAGAGTTCTCCAAACGGGCTCTAAATCAGTTTTGCCTTACGATTAACTACCGATCTAATATGTGAATATATCAGGAACGAATTGCATAAACGCAAAATCGCATTACCCTTATTTCATTCAAATCGGCAGATCATATGACAAAAAAAATCTAGAAATTCAATCGTTTAAGATTGAAACAAGAAATATGAAAAACTCCAAATAATTCAACATGAAGGAGGCTCTGATACCAATTGTTGGAAATACTTTTACATATAGCGGAAGCAATACAAGAACAAATCAAACGGATTGTTCAATAATTCCAGGACCTTCATCATGTTGAATAATAGAGTATAATAAGATTACTACCTGGATCCATAGCGAAGCCGCAGGAGGAATGGAACGAGGTAGATGGCATCTGGATCTTCCTCAATTGAACCCGAGCCTTAGTCTCTCTTCCGATGGGGAGAAGAGAAGTGAATTGGTCGTTCAATGTATTGGGGACCATAGCCTATTTATAGATTGTGTTGGTCTAGTTAGAGCTCCCATTATACCCTAACAAGCAACACGGGCCTCTGCCCATTTATTATTTTGGCCCATACACCTATCTTAATAGTCTATTGGGTTTAGATAATACATAAATAAAACCCAATTATGATAAATAGCTAATAAAATAATTATAATATTAGCCCATATTAATTATTGGAATAAAATATTCCAACAATTCTTCCTTTCTTTGTGCGTGTTATTCACGTAAGAGCAAACCCACTCACATAATACTAAACGTATTAGAACCCTTGAGGAAGCGGGTTTTCTCAACTTTCTTTGATATTATATTGAAAAAATCGAAAACATCGAAAAAATCACAGTTGAAGAAAGCAAACTAAAGATTTGCACATAAGTTAAACTCCACCAAAGACTTTGCTTACCTTAAATTTGAGCTAAAACGTTGATGAGAATGTATGGAACCTCCATCTACTGAATACGGGAACATGTAAGTATTAAGTTCATGATCATCCAAAGCTTAACTAATTGCACTATACAAATCAGTTAACATAAGCTTATGCTGAAGTCTGAAAACAAACACTTGATTTCCAGGTGAAATGGAAAGTTGCATCAGCAAGTGTTTGTCCCAAATTAGAATTCAGAAGATACTAAACTTCTCATGTTGAACATTAATATTATTTAACATAAACTTAGCACCAAATATAATCTGCTATACACGTGGAATTAAAGCATATTTTCCACAACTCCAAAATCGGCTTAGAATGAAAAGTTATTGAATCAAATGAAAGAAAAGTATATGAGGATCAAATGATGTCAAAAGTGATACCTCCTATGAGGAACATAGTAGTTTTACCACTACAAGAAAGCTTTGAATTTTAAGTGATACTTACATTTCAAAGTAAATGTTATATTTACTTATTTATTACTATGTTCCATAAACCCAATTCCTAAACATTGCCCAAGGGTCTGTTTGGGTGAGGGTTAGCAAGGTCAACTTCAATAAGTGATATTGTACCCTTGCTAACGGACAATCAACAGATCTTATCTACAAACACCATCTTACAAGACCTATGTTGGTAGAAAATAGCTTGAGAGAGAAAGCGGCAACACTTCAGTATAGTAAAAATAGCGTAGAGAATACATGAGGGGGTGATGGCCTATTTATAGACATCCATCACAAGTCCAAAGTCTAACCTACGTGGGCTTGGCCCAAATGCATAATACATATCCAAGCTATCGGGCGAACCGGCCCGATAAATAAATAAATGAGCAAGGGGCGATTCCTGCTCGTGAGATTGCGTCTTGGGCCTAGTTGGGCCAAAGCTCGGGGATAACGGGCCGATGACACTGGGCCTGGCATATTATCCCAACAACCAATATTTATATTTCCAGACTAGTCAACAGTTTGCCGCACAAAATTATGGGTAAACATCAAGACAATTGAAGACCTTGTCTCAGAATGATTAAACAGTGAAATAATTAATTTACTACATGTATTTGTTTATGATAATGAAAATTGAAAATAGTACACTACTCAAAGTGTTTTTGAAAAATGAAAAACACGGGCATGAAGCAAATGGACGTAGACATGGGTATTCCTAATACGAACAATGAACTCTTCAAACCGTCAGACCTAGATCTAATTAAAATCAGGCGGGTCATATAATAATATGAAAAAATTAGAATGGGTGTAATGGCTCTATTCACGCTTCCAGCTTATAGGTTTGAAAGGTGAGTCTTATTTCGTGCTAGGGTGAAGCAGTTAGGAATGACGACTCTGCTTTAGTGGGAAAATAATATAAACTGCAATCATGTTCTTTTCTTAAACAACCAACCTTTAATGGGCCTAGGCCCGACCTAGGGGATTAATGGGGTGCGGTTACGGGACTTGAAATTTGGGGACCGGCCCGGCCGGTCCGGGCCTTAATTTTTTTTTTTTGGGTTTTTTTTCGGATTTGGGCCTACGCTAGGTGGGCTGGGCTGGGTGTTTTCGCGGGGTTTGGGGGTGGGGGTTGGAATAAATAAGAAACCCCCAAAAAAAACTGAACCGACCCGGTACCGGTAGACTCCTGGGCCGGTCCCGGGCCTTGTCCAAAAAAATTCAAGCCCGGCCGGGCCCGATCCGGAACCAGACCGGGCCCGGTCCACCCCTAGGTTCAACACCACCACCATAGAAATAATATACGTAGTACTAGGAATTACTTTGTAAATATATTAATAAAAATAATATTACGTTAGACGAGATTAGATCAACAATTCAACATTAAACAATCCTAACCGATTAAATTTTATAGGTCAAGATATATCAGGCCATACTAAATTAGTTCAAAACAAGCTATGTTATAGCATACCAAACTAAATCAGTAAAACACGCTCTAAATGAACATGTATTTAATTATTTATTTCCAATTCCAATTTGCATTTTTCGTTACCACTTTAATAGGCTCTTTGGTTTGTTATAGCTTAATAGATATCATATTCTGCATTTCTCATGATCAGTACTAGATAACATATGCATCATGTTGCACAAGGACTTGTGAATTTCCAAGTTCCAACTTGTTGGATATATATTAGATATTAGATGTAAATAAGATTATATGTGGAGGTCCATATTGTCTCGTTTTCTATCAATCCACATATTTGAAGTTAGTGTAGGACTTGTGGCTAGTGAGTATAATTGTTAGATCAAAATGAATCAATTAAGAGTAATAAATATTAAAAATCTTTTTTCGAGCTTTTAAGGGTCCATCTATAAACTTGGAAAATCTCATTATCTCGTTAACATGTACTCGAGAAACATGTCTTTGGTAACATATTTTTGGAAGATAAATGATTAGGTGAACATTTTCAAGAAATTTGCATATGTAGTCTCTATAACATCATGAAAATAGTCAATAGATTTCATGTTTTTGAATCAAAAAGAAACTTGAAATGGGCAGTGATGAAAGAGTGTCAATTGCGTAATTAGTTACAAAACATGGGCAATTCTGGTAACTTAGTCTTCCACTTTCCCGCGCCGCGACCTTCAAAAACGGCCTCTTCCCTTCCCTCCCCTCCCGATCATATGCATCGTCAATACTCAGACGCCCTCCGGCATGGAAATCAGCATAGTCTTCGTCCTCTCAGCTCTTCTTTTCACAACCGCAACTCCGGCATCTCCGGCGTCTACTTCCAGCTGCTCCGATGATTTAGTTCTGTTCTCGACGTGCTTGCCGTACATCTCCTCTTTTCCAAACAACGTCACTAACTCACCATCGCGCCGTTGTTGCGATGAAATCGCCTCTGCGATGGAATCCGGCGGTGCAATCTGCCTGTGCTACCTCATACAGGAGCCGCGGATACTCGGATTCTCAGTTAACTCTACCAGAGTGGTCTCTCTCCCCACCGTTTGCCGGATGAGAAATGGAGAAGTCATCGCGAACACCTCCCTTAAGCATCTCTGTTCAGGTTCGTAGAATCGTAATCACGTAATAGCTGAACGAATTTCGGATAATCGATCCTATTAACCATCTTATTTATTCACGCATCTGTGAATTTTGGGGAATTTGTTTTCGTGATCGTCATTCTAATTGTTATTTACTCCGTGTTCCAATCTACTAATTTCAAACGTTGCAATGTAAACTGCTTATCTATTTGTGAAGTTTATTTTATTTTATTACGAGTTTGAGAGTTTCCGCTGTTCCGCACTAATCAGATGCAATGGGATGATCCAAGTTCAGTAGAATCTTGTTGACATGGATAACCGAACTTAAATGCCGGAATTGGACAGAATTTATGCTGTGTCTGATTTCTGTGAAGAATTCTTTGAATGATCAAACAGTAAATAGGCTCTGATCATTCATCTTTTCATGTTCCAACTCAGGAAACATTACATTGCCTCCACTGAAGAGCATAACAGGTGCTACTCATCCGCTTTTTCAATTCCACTTTTCAATGATTTCGGTTAGCAATTTTTCAATAAGCATGTGATGTGTATTGCTACAGGTCCAGGGATTTCAACTCCACACCTCCCGGGTAATAAAACACTGAATTTGGATGGCAATAGGCTGCGAATAGATACAGTACATAGCCTTTTATCTCTCTTCTGTAATTTAAGAGGAAATTCTTTAACAACTTTCAACCTGTATGTTTTGCAGGCGGGGAAGATTCAGCCCCACCACCTCCTGTAAGTCTACCTCCTAAACCTGATAATAAAACATCAGGACTACCCCGTGCAAATGATTCATCTATTCCACCTGCTGATGATATTGAATTTCCCGCCATAACTACAACACATACTCCACCTGCTGTTGCTGTTGAATCTCCCACCAACATGACAGTAACACCTACACGAAGTGCATCTAAAGTAGTAACAATCTGTTTCTCTTGTCTCTACAATTCCCTTGGGATAACCCTTCTGCTTGTCAACATGTTCACATAGTTTACCGAGGATTTAGTTTCCACAATAAAACAATCGCTCGTGTAATTCGTGTTTGAGGTATATAAGAGTTGTCAAATAGGTCAGTATATCACTTGCTATATGTACTGTATTTTCTTTTGTTTCTTGTATCAAGCCTACCATTTTCACTTTCCACAGCGTACAGTTCTTTTACTTCATTCCAACATAAGTAACTTTAAGACTGTAGATTGAAAATAGGATGGTGCCGATCGCCTGACCCACTCACGTGCTCAGCCACACCACTCATCCCAAAGAACATTACATCTATGCATTAAACTGTTCACCATGCCAGGCATGCTGCTCGTTAGAGCAAATTTGCTCAGATTCGTTACCATAGGCAGCGTAAGTATTCCAAGCAAGCCTTTCAATTTGGAAATTTGATGATCATCACCTGGTGGATGGAGAACTGGAGAAGTCATGTTCCTTCCAGCCACATCTTTAATAGAAATTAGATGTAATTACTCATAACTCCAATAAATTTTTAGCGAGACTGCTCATAAGGACCAAAAGTGAGAGAACACCAAACCCCATGATAAATTACCAAAGGAAGTAATAAGGAGCTTAAGAATGGCAAAGTGATGTAGGTAAAGAGTTCGTACCAAAAAGGTTGTTGATGTTCTAATGTTTTTTTTGTTTCAATGTGAATCAAAGTTTTTTAGGTCCATTTCTAAGCCCACCTCATTTGTTTCCCATTTTAACAAGAACTTGGGTATTATCAAAGGCAAAATATATTAAGGTGCACTTTTTAATATCATCCTGCAGAAATGGATGATATTCAATCAAAAGCAAAACATTTTAACTAGAGAACACAATCAAATAGAGAACAAAGTTCAAGGTCTCCCCATCTTGGCACAGTAGTTCTACAAGACCATTTTTATAGCAATACTGAATAAAAAAGATATTTAAAATGTTAAAACTGCTGCGACACTCCATGACAACTTCATCTCAAACTCTAACATTGTTGAGACTGTTACAAAGAAGATTCACCACCTAAGAATTTAGGCAGCCTCAGATGTGGGTTCCTGATCATCCCTGATTGATTCACGCCACGCATACTCCCTAGCCCCATTCTGGTCAACAATTTTTATCACGAAATTTGGTGGGGCCATAACCAACCTAGACCGAATCTCCACTATGCACTTGTCTGCCAAATCAACGGCTTCCTCAACTGTCATGTCCTTCCTGTAGTGCCTGTCCATCATGGCAAGTGAGAAATAGGATCCGTAACCAAACGCTGCCTTGTCAACTTTGTGCATAGTTGCAATGTAATCAATGTAGTATAGTGAAGGACCAGTCTCCTTATCATAGCCAGCCAGGATGATGTTCACAAAATATGGATTCTGAAGGGAAAAGGATAAAGAAATTAAAAAATGTCACTTTCAGCAGTTGGTGTCAAGGTAAATGTAAGCAACTATTCAACAACTTAATTAGTTAAATATGGGGGTTCCTCCCCACATCATAGAGCTTAAATGGAAATCTGGGCTTCAGCTTTCAAAATCTACCCCACAAGGGAGAATGCAAATAAAAGAATAATGATCTTCCAGGATCTGGTTGAATAGAAGCTTTTGGAAGGCTAAGTCTATATGTTGATGTATATATGAGATTTTATTAAAAAAAATGAAGGAATGAGAATACAGAATCATATACGTAGTATGTAATATTTTTCATTCACCATTTATTTGTTACTGGATACATTATACTTGTAAAAAAACTTAAGCTTTCAAAGCCACTACATCCAAACTAACTTCCTGACCCTAAATATTTCATGTTTAAGCACTACATTACCAAAATGACTGTAGAAAAATTAAGGGATCTAATGAAAAAGGAACTTCTTTCCATCATTGGCAATGAGCCAAAGACTCACAATTTTTTTGGCTTGGGAATATGATGGAATAAAGCAAAATGGTTCACTAAACTGATTGCGCTTCTTTGTTATGAAGTAGCACTCAGTCCATGCAATTTTTGACTCGTTTTTTCACTTTGGGTCATTCGGAAACAGTCTCTTTGTGCTTTAGTACAAGAGTAAGACTGCGTACATCCGACCCCCCTTACCCCACCGAAGGTGGGAGCCTTTGCGGCACTGGGGTAATGATGATGATGATGATGAATGAAAAAGGAACTTCTTGCACCAAAATTTTGCCTTCATACTCAATTTGAGTTTTACAATTGATGAATTGTAAAACCAATAAAAGAAGAACTTGAAGATTGTTACTTGGAGAAGAACTTGATAATTGTTACTTAGAAAACGTCGCCTTCATATTCAAATTTCGCATTCCAGCCTCACTCTTTTCAGTGTAAGAGATACTACCACCATGCCCTAAATATATTCTTGTATGTAAATGCAGAGGGATATAAATATGGTTGTTAAGTTAGTTGGAATATGAAATACAACAGTTGATTACAATATACAATAACCAAAACTATTGGCAATACGCTTTTATTAATCTCAATTAATGATTATGTTTTTATAATCCAAAGTGATAGCTATAAGATCTGTTTTCCAAGATTAGCCCTGCATGACCGGTAACATGTTTAAAAATTAAAATTTAATTACAATATTAGAACAAAACATAATCTGCTTTAATTAATCCCGAAAAGAAATACTTGGTTAGCAGATGAGTAGCTCTGTTCAAAACTAGAAGGGATGATCAAGAAGGGAATAATTTGAAACTCTGGGAGTAGATATGGATATTCTTGTGAAAACGGAGATTCTTCCTTCCTCAGATCCTCCCACGTTCTAATGGACAAAAAATGGCTAGCCATAGTAAGGCATATGATGAGCCTATGGACGTAACTGTTGACATGCATGGTTTAAATCCAATTGGAACCACTTGGCAACAGCAATCACATTTCAGGTATAGCCACTGTTACTCATATGAGTCATATCCATCGATGCAGTCCTTAGTACGGTCAAAAGAAGATCTGAACCTTCTATAATACCCTTAGCTCAACATTCAAATACAGCTTATCTTCAGTAAGGCAAAAAATAGATGCATTTCATTCAATTCATCATATTTTCCATGAAGTCTGCATTAAGAACCTATTGATACCCATTTGGATTTGTAAACAATACTCATTATATTCTGAGTAAGTGTCCATCCAGCAAAAAATATGGTTCTTAGGGTGATGATTAGTGTCCACAAACAGACACACATACCTATAATGAACTTTAGGCATTAAGAGTAGCGAATCGGAAATGAACAGAAATGGTGAACAACTAAGTGATTTTACTATTGCTGAATTGTACTGGAATTCCTGATGGCCACTCGTTTGTGAAAAACACGTGTTTACTTAATACTACGTATGAACTAATTTAAGAATGTTGTGTAGCGTGTAAACTAATATAACAATGAAAGGAGTCGTTAAATATTAGGTCTGTTAAGTGATCAACAGCTTTTGAGCATATAATGGACATTGATCACAAAAGAGGGTTGCATTTCAGACCAAATTTGAGCTCAAACTATGATATAAAACATACACCTAATTCAGATTTAAACCCTCTAACAACAATTCCATAAAAATCACAGTAATTTTGTAAACGATATTGCAAATGCTGAAACCCTAATGCATAATAAAGTTCAGACCTTCCGCAAGGCAGTGGCAAGTTCACCCCGAGTGAAGTTTGCTGCAGCCGAAGTAGTCAAAGGAATTCCGTTTCTGAACTGATACAGGGACACGTTCTTCTGGATGAACTCAGTAAATTGAACTCTGGCCATTCAGAACCCCAAAACATAAGAAATTAATCGCAAATAATATAGACAGCCAAGATGCAATCATCAATATAGATACCTATCTCCAGCTTCGCCGCTAGCTCCCATTAGCTTGTGGGAATCGAGGATCATGATTTTGTCCTCGTTGGATTTGTGGACGAGGATGCTGTGCACGGCGGAGGTGTCGGCGACCACCAGTGCGAATCCGTTTCCGACAAGTCCGAATACGCACTCCATTGTTTTCTCCTTCTACTATTAGATCTCTTCTGATTGTCTTTCGTTTACTTCGCCTCCTAACTCTGAATGGTTCTTTCTGTAAAGAAGAGCTTGAAGGCGTCTTGGAGAACAAGCATATACTAACCCGGAACTTTGGAAGGCCTTTTTCTTCTTTATACTTTTCATTTAAAATACATGAATTATTTTTTTCTTTTAAATTTTTACTTCTCTTAAATACTTTCTTATTAAACTTATCAATCAACTTTTTCATTATAGTTGTTCTTTTTCATTTCATGTTCTTTATTGTACAATAAGAAGAAAAAGTAAGAATGAAGTTATTTTTCGAGCAGTATTGCTGAAGTTACTGCAGATGATCATAACCGTTTTTCATATGTATACTTTTTCTTTATTTCATTTTTTGAAAGAAGGTGGCTTATATTAATAAGAATGAACGTGAGCAGGTAACAACCAGACAAAGAATCCATTGTCCACCGTCCGACCTTGAACCAAACTTAGAACTTGCCACCTTAAAAGAAGCAATCAGATTCGTTGATCCTGAATTGGCTTATCTGAGCTAGTGAGTGTCAAACTAGGCTCCCCATCACCTGTCTTATGTTCTAGAGTCTTGACAAAAATAAAAACAACAACAAACAAAAACACATGATGTCCAAAATAAAAACCAACATGAAGAAAAACCAGTTTAAAGTCATAAATAACTTCAGTCTGCTAGAAGCACACGATCTTCACATGTTTAGGCGGGTTTGAGTGCTCTAGCTCGCCTCTTCGCTGTTTTTTGTTCCATCCAAAGTCATGGCGTTCTCCCATGATTGCTCCTGCTCCCGCTCCTGTACATCCTAGGTCCGCCCCCGCTTCTGTTCTCCTGTTCCACTGTTGTTCATTCTTGTTTCCTCAATCCTCATAGTTTGTATCCACCCCTGCTTCCCGAGACTTACTCTTCATGTGACTTTGGCCCTGTTCTTGTATTTCCTTAAAGTTATTTTGCATCCCTGTTTGCCCTCTTCCTACCCCTCCTTCGTTTACGAGCCATTTGTTACCCATAGAAAGGTGAGGTCTCCCTTCACCTGTCCGCAACCATGGTCCAAAGGATTTCACAACCCCCTTATTCCCTTTTT